TGATTAATATATTCCTTTAATTGATATCTAATCAAATTAGATATTTATCAATTAATTCTAACCATTAGAAATACAATCTTTACCTTTGTTCATAATTAGTGTGACCTTTTAGGTTCACCTTAATACTAGTAGTGGGTTTACAACACTTTGTAATTTGAGTTAAATCTTATTAACTCTTATTCATGAATTAACCCTTTAATTTATGAACCCACATATCATGGTAACACCTAGCAAGTAGCATGAATCTAGTATTAAGTGAATAGCGAGTAAACCTATTCCGATTACAACTCCATACATGTAAAATCCTTTCGACATCTAATTTCCCGATTAAGTCTTGGGTATGATTTTGTCGAAACCCAAATTGACTTAATAACTATGATTCTATTTCATGTTTATTAACCCGGTTATGAATCACTATTCATCTCTGCCTTGGCCAAGGACTTTGGATTAATAACTATGAAACACATAGGAAATTCACTTATCTTCATAAGTGTCGAATCCTTTATTGGCCACTAACAAACTTCCATACATATTAACATAATACCCAACTTATCCCTTTAAACGATAGTGCTAGCTACCAAAAGGATAAATCAAAGTAGAATGTAATATGCACAAAGTTACCATTGTGCCTCAAGTCTTAGGATTAGTCATGTACTATTGTAACATGAAAATTCTTATTCGACTGAATAAATTCTTCATTAAGAATTTTCATACGGTCATGTTCAGTGAACTTGTTCTCTAACAAGCACCCACATAAATGTACTTACGTCTTACGCTAATGTTGATGGAATGCAACATTCTTGTCCAACAAGCATACAAACTATGTGCAAGTCTTTTATGGATTATTCGATATCCCATCTCGAAACATCCATCGACTTGGAACTGTATTTAAGATCACGGCTTTCAAGGTATGTTCCATGATCACCATCTCTATGCGCAACCATACCTTATAACCATAAGTGATCTAGGGATTTTATCTTAAGTGCAATTATAAGATAAATGCTTTCTCTTAAGATAAAGAAATGCCTTATTCATAATATAATTCCAATAGACTGTATTTACAAGTAGAATACGTCCAATTAGATTGGAACGCCGGGTACCCTACTCTAACAAAAACAACCCGATTTTACAAGAGACCGACCTCCTGTAACAAACAGTGATATTATAGCAATACAAAATCCACACAAATTTATTGTGTTTTATGTGGTAAACTCTCGTTATTATCGTTGTTAATTTTCATATAACAGCATAGGTTATGACGATATCAAAGTAGGTCATGAATTTTACAGTTAAAAAATACTTTGCTTAAAAATCTTTTCTTACTATTATATAAAGCTTAATAATTTTTTAATTTGCATTTTTTATACATAATATATCAAATTGATTGTACATGCTTCAATTTGATAACCATATATATCCACCAATACATTAATTCAAAATATGTTGAGTCTAAATGATAAGTTCAACCGCTTCAAAATTTGATTTGGCAAAAAATTAGGTTTCGTATGGTGACTCACATAAAATTAATTTATTTTTTTATATTTCAAAGTAAAATTGAAACTTGCCATAAGTTATTTCCTTATTTTAACCTTGATATTTAATGTAAATTATTTTTGATATATCTCTCCCTTATTATACATATCAATTATTTACTCAAAATCTATCTACATTTTTTTCTTTCTCTCCCAATTTATATTTTTAACTTATTATCATTATCTTGCTCATCTTTTTTGATGCTATAAATACCTTATAAATTTAAACCATAGACTAAATTAAGTTATAATATAACAAACTCATTATATCAACGTGAGTCTTAATCTTGCAAAACTCTTACACACTTACATATTTTTACAATTACAAAAACTGATTTTATTTGCTAAATATTCGAAGTATAATAAAAATCTATATTAGTGTTCAAAATAGTAGATCTTGTGTTTGGCCGACCTAACTATTAGGCCGACATACTCTTTACACAAATAAGTATACTTTCATTTAAAAATAGTATACTTTAAAAAACATCATAAAAAGAAATATGACATTTGATAATACAAGTATTCATTTTTTTTAATATAATATAGCAAGTTGACCCATCCAACGTTAGGTAGTCTCACACAAGAATTTTCCAGTAAAAATTTATTTATTTATTTATTTATTAACTAATAAAAAATATCAAGTCTTGTGTTAGGTCGACCTAACTATTAGGCCGACATACTTTTTTTCACAAATAAATATACTTTCATTAAAAAATATTATACAGTAAAAACTATCATAACAGATGTATAACAAATTATGACATTTGATAATATAAATATACATTTTTGTTCATAGAGTATAACAAGTCGACCCACCAATATTAGGTTATCTCTGACACTAGACTTTGCTAATAAAAAAATAATTTTTTAGATAAATTTATTGTGATGTTAATGTGTACTACACACGGGTGTTATTTTTAATAAACCTAATAATATAATTTATTAAAGATCTTACAAAATTAGAAAAAAAAAAAATAACTTTTGTATTTAATTTTATTTTTTTCCCTATATATTTTTTCATTTAAACATTCGTTAATACGCACTTTATTTACATAATTATTGCATATTTATCTTTTAGTTATAAAATGAAAAATACTTTTTTCTTTTATTTTTTTTAAATAAAAAACTTACATGGTATTGTACTAGTCCTTATTATATATGTATAGATTTTCTCCAGGTATGCCTTGTGCACAGGGAGTACTATATGTGCATTCAGCACAACAAAGATCAGGTTGAATGCGCAGCAGCATCATGTACTAGGCAACAAAATCTATACTTATATTAAAAGGTATACCATTTACCAGATTTAGTATAAATAAAATTCAACAACATTTATTGCATTACTATTTTCGTATTATACAATCTATACTTATATAAAAGGAGATTCTATTTACTATATTTACTATCCAGAAAAGTCAACTGCATTAAATGTCATTACTATTTTGGTATTATAATATTTTATTTATTTAATTTATTTATTTATTTTAAAAAGATAAGTATAATAAAAATATTTAATAATAAAAAAATTAAATACCAAATAAAAATGTACACTTTGACTTATTTGATCATATTTGGTATTTGATTATACCAAATATATTCATATTTAGTATATACATTAAATACTTACTAAAGTATTTATTTGTTTTATTTGTCAAAGTTAAGTATAGATTTGTTTATATTATCAAATCATAAAAAAAAAATATTAAATCCATATTGTAAAAAAAAACCATATAATTGTATAACAATTCTACTACACTATTTAACAATATTTTTTTTATTATATAATAAAATAATAATTAAATATTATATGGTGAACAACAATAAGTAAAACTGTTACTTTCTCTTATATCAAGGGATAAATTTATATGCTAAAATTAAATTTTTATTAGTATAAATGTTTTAGTGAGATAATACATTAATTATTTTACAAGCTAGCCCTAACATGCTCATATTTAATGTTTTAAAAGATGTAGAAAAAAAACTTATAATAACTCTATTGTTTTTTAGACTTAAACGTTGATTAAAAGAAGTAAAAACTCCTAATTTTTTAGACTTAAACGTTGATTAACACCATAGATTGAGAGTTTACATTTAATAAAATTCCTAATTGTAATAAAAAAAATTAATTTTTGCTATATTTTAGAATATCTTTAAATTCATTATATAAAAAAAAAAAGAAAAAAAATTACATTGAAAAAAGTAAGTTAGCTATATATCGATTTGTTGTACTCCTCAAATCACATTCACAATTTGCCTACAAGGAAAGGAAACTCATTGATTAAAATATTATTTTGTCAGTAGTCTTAATGTATAAGAGACTTTAAGACTCCACTTGAATATTATAAAACTTTTATTGAACATTGTACAATTTTCTTGTATATTATAAGCTTTTATTGAATATTGCATCTTATAATATAATATTCTCCAAATAAATATATCTCGTTCTTTGCACGGGTCACGTACTATATATATCCCGTACATTTTTCTTTATTCATGTATATAATTATAAGCCTGGATAAATAGCCTTAAAATTGTACACCCCGTGCATCGCACGGGCTCTGTACTAGTGGTGAAGAAACAGGGCTTCAGAATCACACTGAAAAGGTTGCAATCTTTCTTTATTTGAGCACACTCAAGTTTTGTAGACTCAACAGAAGATACGAATAACAAAACTCACAGAACAACATAGGGGTGAGCATGGATGCGTACGGTTCGAAGATTGAAAAATCTCCAAAACCGTACTGAAATTCAAAAATTACTAAAATTTAATCTCTAGAACTGTACTAAAAATATGGACGGTTCGATTCGGTTTGGAGCTCCAAAGATTTCTAAATATTTTTAAGATATATTTATGAATGACTATCTAGTAATATTTAAATTTTGATATGCTTTTCAAAAAGTCGACATCCACCAACAATTCACCAAATTAAAGATTTTATTTTGAAATTCAAACAAAATATAATATAGTTTTTTTTTAAATATATTTATTTAACCTTTCATATCATTTTAATTATAAGATATAATAAAACTAAGAAACATATCAACAAATTTAAATGAATTTGAAATATATATTTACTAATAATATTTCTTTGACATTTCAGAACATTTAAAATAATGTTTTAAAAAAAAAAATCCAATTGTTGATCAAATATTATTAAGCATAAAATTCAAGTGTAGCTTAATATTACTGCATGTTATTTAGTATTTTAAAAACACTCAAGTTATAGAGGATTAAGTTGACATAAAATATATGAACACGCATCTAATGTTATAATTCGATTTTTCGATTCGGTATGAGATGGTCCAGTTCGGTTCGGTTCGGTTCTCTTCTCGATACTGATATTTGTAAAATCTCTAAATCGTACCAATTATATATTTGGTTCGTTTCAGTTCAGAAAAAATCAAACGTGCAACAGTCACTTTTAGGTTCGGTGCAATTTTAGTTCGATTTTCGAAACGGTTTCAAGTCCCATGTTCAGCCCTTGAATATTATAGCATTCCAGACCTCCCGAACAGATCAGGCACTTAGAATCATAAATAGTTCTTCTAAGAAATTTTGTATCGTTTCCGACTAATCCATAAGTACAGCAGCTTATATTATGCAGTTTGTAGTTATATAAGATTGAAAGCTAACTCGTGTGTAAGATACTTAAAAGATGTAACACATACAGGATGCCCAAGAAATGTTGCTGAGCAACAACAGTAATATACTTACTCAAATTTATTAATTCTAATATGAACTTATGCCTTTAAGTTCTATCTTCTTCCTCATCCATCTCGTCCAGAATGACATACGTTGGAGTTGCACCATCAGCTGGCGAGCCAACACTCTCTCCCTTCTGTAACTTTTCGTACCTGATTGTCAACATGAAATTTAAGGGGATGACTACCTTCAGGTTGTTTCAAGATTTTCTCACATATATCACACCATAAAGAACACAAAAGTCAATTACCACAAATGTAACTTCAGAAACTAAAGCACAAGTGATTCTATCATCAAGAGTTTCACTGGCAATATTCTTGCAACAAAGTGAAAGCAGAAAGTCTTGCTACAAATTAACTTGCAATCATTTGAGTATAATTTCACATATTCTTAAATATTTAAGGATGTAATTTATAACTATTACAATACCCGTTACAGGGGTACTTGTTAAGAAAATTATATTTAAAATTTAATAATAATAACAAAAATTGTTTTAGTTCTTAAATACTTTTTTAGAAAATATATTATTATTTATATTTAAATTGATACCCGTAACTTACACGACTTACCATTTTATATTATATAATTTTTTAATTTATATCAGATAACTACTCTGTAGTTCAGTTAAAACAACAACAACAACAACAACAACAACATACCCAGTATATTCCCAACAGGTTGGGGTCTGGGGGGTCAGTTGTACGCAGACCTTACCCTTGTAATTATACAAGGAAGCTGTTTCCGTAGCGACCCAAGGTACATTGCGCCGTTTGACATATTTTTTTTTTTTCTAGAAACTTCAATAGAAGAAGCACTAGAATTTAATATTAATAGGTAATTTAAAAACTCATTTAAAACTACTTTATTCAATATAGATATATACTCTATTTTATGAATTAAATTTATGCTATTAAAGAATGATATAAAATGTATTTTTAATGATATAAAATATGGAAAAGTAATACATGTATGAATTAGTTAAAAACTCATTTAAAACTACAGAATACCAAAATTTACGGAATTATCTTACGATATACTCACATAATAATATGATAGAGTTAATACAAAAAATTATAGGAGGCAATAAATTTATGGTAATGAAAGAGATATTTATAAGATGCAATAATGTAAGATAAACTAATTATTTATAGTTGATTCCAAGTCGATTATGTTTCTAAATTTTTTATCCGAACCTAAATACGAAGCATAATAATTTGACACGTATGATTCCAAAGAGTGTGAGCCTGCCACTTAGGCTCAGCACGTTTTGAATTAATATATAAGGGGAATCATAATTCTTACCACTTTGACCAGATAGGATTAATGAAAAACTAACGCACAACATACTTTTACAGGGAAACAATATAAAAAATTTTCATATCCATAAAAGCAGATTATCATATAAAACTGACTGGGTAAGAAGTTGTAAGCCCTGATAGGAGATAGATATAAGCAAAGGTTACAAGTTTTGCTTGAAAGGCTCGCAGATTGATAACTTACTTGTACCAGTTGAATAAACTGACACCAACCATTATCGTTAGAAGACCAACTCCTTTCAGCCAAGTAAATTCATCATGGAAATACAACACAGCCACCTAAATAGTACATGAAGAATTCATAATCAGTCTGAAAGGCCATAAACAAAATAACAGAACCACCTAAGACTAATCAATAACAGGAAATAAAATTACAGTGTATATGTTCTAGCACTTTTAGTGAAATCAAACTCTGAAAAAAAAAAAAAAAAAAAAAGGAAATAAAAAAGACTTCTAGCTTCCTAGCATCTGAGTCAATAAAGGACATATCGAGGAGTAAGTAATCAATAATCACATTATTTTACAATCAACAGATTGATATCTGAATCCCCTTAGTGTTCAAGTACCCATTATTTTATTCTCCTTCAGGGTATGATCTGAGAATGAAGATAGCTCACTCTTGTGAAATACTTGAAAACTACACAACCATTTTACCATTTCCATGCAGAAATCCGGATCACTTAGTGAGATTTATATACTTTATTCTACTAAGAATGATAAACCAAACACACGAATGCTATCACAAGGGAAATCCTGAAGTTTTCTGAGACAACCAGTTACTCTCATTTCTATTTACTCCTTAAAATAGATTGACTGAACAGCACAGAAAGATGAGTTATGATCTCACTTGTTTCTACTTTGCCAAAGGGAAGATTAAGTTCGAAACTTTGATACAATGAGATTGTTTTAATCAAGCCCTTTAAAGACATAGAACCAACCATATTAAAGTTGAGAAACTTGCACATTCACAATTTATAACCTCACAATGTAAAGACTTCGACTAAAATGAATTATATCAAATGGCAATCATCTTCTCAAATCTACGAGAGCAGCCTTAGTTGTACTCAATTATCAATAAATTAGCATGGAAAAGCACGTATTTAACTAACCAATTTCGACAGACATAGTAAAAGTAACACTGCAGAATAGTACGTAGTCTTTTATACCAGAATAGTTACAGCTTCCTTCACAACCCCTGCTATTGTGACTGTAACTGCACTAGTTACTGACACGAGAATATATTCAGTTAATACCTGCAGCAAGACCAAGAAAGGATTCTAATTAGCTCGCAGCCCTTTAAATACAGAGACTATGAATGCAGCACACTTCAACATAATTTAAAAGAGTTTTACGAGTGGTTAATAATTTCCAAAATTTAGTAACTGTTTGAAGTACTCAATTCAGATAAACCCTATAGAAAGAAAAGATGGTTATATTTAAACCAAAAACACTGAGCATGTATTACCTATCACTATATTCAAAGACATCGAATTTTAAATATTTTTACCATGACGAAAGCCAGAGTCCCACCAAACAACATCAGAAGACAACTTTTTGCAGTATGCCATGAACTGTTAAAGTAATCACTCGCTCTGAATTCTTGCCATGGATCCAACATCAACGAAAGTAGAGCAGTTGCAATTGCCATAACAGGGGTCACATAGCTCATCAAAGTAAGTGGATTTTGAAGACCTTGATAAAAGGGAGAAGTGTAATTAATCAGATACGTAAAACAGGTGGGACAAGTTTAAGCTTCAATGTTCTCAATAAAAATCTCAGCCTATTTATCATAGAGCAGTTGTGTGGAGCAGATTTGTTTACAAGATCGGTCAAACCTATAATTCTTACTTTCTAGAAAATCTCAATCCATCTAACAATCACATTAAGGGGGTTCTAACCATCAGTCTCCACAAAAATAAACTAATAATAATATTAAAATAGAAACAAAATACTTCTACTCTTCTTGCTTGATAAAAGCAATTTCTAGCAACGCCAAATTCTAATTCTTCTCAACTTGTAAGAATCTAAAAGCATAGGCTGAAAAGAAAGTTATGGTTTTAAGCGTGGTTTGATCTTTTTACCAATGAAGCACTCTACAACTTATTTACAGTATCGCTCCGTGAATTATAACACCTACTAACTTCTAATTGCAAGCACTGTCATGTTATCAGTTCAGTTACTATATGCTTTGCAACAATAAATAATTCCTAAGAGAAGCAACATTTCAAACACTCCCTGGCCCATCCAGCTCCAGCAGTACTGTTAAAAGTGAGATAAGACAAACTACATGAAACTTTGTTAAACATCTATCCTAACTTGCACAAAAAAAAATAATCTAGCACAGTATCGAAGGTGAAACTCAGCTCCCTGTTAAATGCTGACCTGTTTTAGATCTTTTGAGCAGGACTCATGATCAACTACAATATATTCTGTTAAGAAAACTAAACTATAACTAAGATAAAAGAATCCACCCACAATATGTTCCATCAATTAACCTTACTTTGGTGCAAGACTAAGGAGAAGTAGATCAAAGTGAAAAGTTTAATCCTGGATATAGAGCTGAGAGAGGTTGGATCATTACACTTGGGGACCTTTGACTACCTTCAAGTAGCATGTATGTGCATCTTGGTTTAATTTTTATCATTTCATAATTAGTAAACGTAACAAATCAGATACCAGTTATTAAAGAATATGAAATTCTTTGAACCAGTAATGTTTATAACTAAGACGGTAGAGCTTTCTGGTCTGGAGTGGAGTGGAACGGCATATATATTTCGTTGAAGATAAGGATAACCTTTAATGCTGAGATGATTTGAGAAATTACAACCCAGTTGTGTTCTATCTTTGCAAAATACAATTTACTGATAAATATTATAACTCAGCATGCAAAGATGCCAAAATTAAAAGAGTGGTAGCCGTAAGATTTTCTAAATTTAAAGTGGATGCATGTAGTTATTTTGGTAACACTTACCATAGGTTTCTTTCTTCATGTCAGTTTTGGTAACAGCGCGTAACGATCAATGAAGTGCAGAATACAAGAACAAAGACGTGAGAACGTATACGCGTGATATTCAATAGCAAAAAATTATATAGTTTCAGAAACTAGAATTGTAACAACATGAATCCTGAGTAATGTTAATCATACCTGTAGAAGAATTTGTGTCATTGTCCAGCGGAAGCCAGACATGACAGCAGCAAGTGTAACAAATATGAAGCCCCAAAATTCAAATTCTGTCTCTTTTGCAACTGCATAAAAAAGAAAAAAAAAAAGGGTAAGATAAAAAATAAAATAAGATAGAAAGTTATTTCTGCTGGATTTATCTTAATTCAGATAAATAGAAATACTAATTAAACTAAAATAGTATTACTTTCGGCAGAGTGCAATATTGGCTGTTATTCCAGGGTTTTTCTGATTTGTTTTAGTTTTGGAATAGGTTGGTGTGAAAATTTAATCATGGCAGAGTTTTTCTGGGTAGACTAATTTTCATCTTTTTCTTTCCTCCTGAAAAGTGTTCAAGAACCACCACTGATATTTCATGATTGAAACTTTGTAATATTTTCTTCATTTCTAGATAATGAAGAAAAAATTTTGTCCCAAAGTTCTGTGCATTATAATACTGAAATATCAGATTTGTGCCAATATCCATTTCCATACAGTGCACACATGATGATTTTCTTTGCTTAATCGTGTAGTTAGTATGGTCTGCAATGAGTGACAATTGGCACCAAAAAATTTCGGAATTTTGCATTCTATATTTATGATTATTACCCATCGGTGTTAACACAACGGAGAGATCCTGAGGAAGGTTGGAAAAACTAAATACATATGAAGCAAGATAGCTTTAAGGTAAAGCAGGAGAGAGGTATCAGTGAACCAGGGAAGGTAATGTTCGACATACATAGTAAAAATCATAATCTGTGAATGAACATTCTTCTCAAAAGACATGTTCCCATGATTATCAAAACCACCCGCCAAGATGCACAAATTCAG